TTTTTTTTTTTTTGCAGCTCATTCCTTATCAATCCTTCATTCTCATTTGTGTTCTACTCATTCATCACACTCTTGTTTTTTCTTTTTATTATTTTTATTATTCTTTTTTTTTTTTGTTCTTTTTAATTTTAATTTTAATTTTCTTCTACGTGTGTGTGTTTTAATTAGTATTTTTTTTTTTATGTTTGTTTGTTTGTTCGCACATTATTATTTTTTTTTTATTTTATTTTATTTTTTTTTTTTCATATTTTATATTATTTTAATTACGATTTACGTTTGAAAGTGGAATTGACACTTAATAAGGTTATTGAAATAGCCTCTCAATATAATAATTGCACCAACGTGACAAGATCTTGTTTAAATACACACACACACACACACACATCCACATACATACATAAGTATCATACACACATAAAGTATCATACATCATCATCATACATGTATACATTATTCTCTTTCTATCTATCTCTCTCTCTCTCTCTCTCTCTTTCTTTTTGAGACACACTTTTAATGCAACATTTCCTATCTATCTTTCATTTTTATTTCATTCGATTTTACATATCATTCATTCATTCATTCATTCATTCGCCATTCGTACGCAATTTATGATCATTCGTTATCAGGCATTGAACTCCTTTTTCACTAACATAATCCTATCTTTCCATTTATTTTATTTTATTTTATTTCTTTCTCTCTTACTCTTTCTTTTTCTCATCTTTCATACACGTGACTTATTTGTTTAATTATTTATCTATTTATTTCCTTTTTTTTTTTTTTTATTCACATTCCACGAAATGTTTCATTTTCATTTTCATTTTCATTTTCATTTCATTTTCATTTTCATTTCATTTACATTTACATTTCCATTATTTATTCCCCGTAACATTTTTTTAACTCGTTTTCCTATTTTAATTGTTTATATCCATTCTAATTAATTTCAATTTCAATTTTAATTTGAAAGGTTTAATAAACGCGCGTCGTAATTAACAAACAAATCTAATGACACATAAATAAATTGCGTTAATATTAACCCTTTGATTACATTTGACGTATAAGTACGTCATGCATTTAACAAAGATGCACACATGACGTTTTAATACGTCATTGAAACTGATAACAAGATTTAACTAATTGTAAGTTCATTCTCTGATTCATTTCMAAGTAATGTGTAATATTTCTAATTAACCCTTTTGGTTACATTTGACGTATCAATACGTCATGCATTTGTTTAGGAAAAAACACACATGACGTTTT